CCCTCCCACAAGCACCAAAACCGCACTCAGCAGCATTCCACCGCACCAAGCCAATCCTAGCCCCACTGGATCGTCCAACACTGTTCCCAACCGCTCTCAACCCCACCCAATTGTTCACCACCGCACTAGACTGCCATCAGTTGCACCATCAGCAGTATAGGCTGCCCCCTAGCGCACGAGCAGCAGCTTAGGCTGCCACCAGTAGCACCAAGAGCAACTTAGGCTACCGCCAGCGTACCCCCCCCCCCCCCCTCGTACTAGCTTGCCATGTAGCTGTGGCAACAGCCGCATCAACAACAGTGGTCTCAGCAGTGGCAGCGGCAGAAGCACAGGTGGCCGTAGCTGCAGCAGTGGCGGGTTCAGCTGCAGCGCCAGCAGCGACCTCCACAGCGGGGCCCTGACGGACCCAGCCAGTACACATACCGGTACGTGGGAGCTGCAACTGCTATTGAGACTTGTGTTTCCAGTCTTGGTGCGTGTGTAGTTTTCGGTCCAGGCGCCTCAGAGGTTCTTAGTGCGGGAGCTACAGCCACCACAATAATAGTACCAGCCTTTGTCGCTGGCTCGGGTGCGACCTCACCGACTGCACGGCTTTCCTTCACCCTAAACTCTCGAGCGTCCAGGTGTTTCTTTCGTGACTGCACCGACCTCACGCCACTGCACACTCCAGTCACTGTCACCTTGGCTGACCCCTCCGTAGGATCCGTAGTTGCAGAGAGCACCGCCACTCTCCCATGTCGATCGGCTCCCTTTGGGTTTCTCACAGGTTGCTACACCCCCTCGTTCTCTAGAAACCTAATGGGTGTCAGTCACCTTTACGACCTCGAAGTTGTCACTACTTTGCCACTGTACGAGCCTGTTGCCTCTTGCACAGTCGGTGCGACTGAGGCGCCTCTAGCCACTTTCCACAGGGAGCCTGGCTTTGATTTGTATTCACTACATACTGGGTCCCACCACACTCGGTCAGGTCAGGTCAGGTAGCTGATGTGTCGTGCGACTGTCGGTCACTCACCCACCCGTCGGTCCTCTGGCACCATCGTCTCGGTCACCTGTCGTTCCCACGTCTCAGTAGGATGGTACGTCAACGTCTGGTCTTAGGTCTCCCAGAGTCGCTTGCCCCGCTTCCTCGCTCGCCAGCGCTGCCGTGCACTCCCTGCGTTGAGGGTCGGCAGCGCGCCGCCCCTCACTCCTCCTCGTTCCCTCCCACCACGGCTCCCTTACAGACCCTGCACTTGGACGTCTGGGCCCCCTCCCCGGTCCTTGGCCCACGTCAGGAGTGCTACTTCCTTATTGTAGTGGATGACTACTCCCGCTACACCACGGTTTTCCCTTTGCGACGGAAGGCCAATGTGCCAACCGTCCTTGAGCCGTGGCTACTAGCAAGGGGTGGCGTCCAGGGCCTATGTGGGCTCCGCCTACAGTCGTACCGTGGTGGAGAATTTTCTTCCACTCGCCTGGAGACGTTCTGTCAGGGTTGGGGGATCATCCAGTCTTACACGCTACCAGTCTCGCCGCAGCAGAACGGGGTAGCCGAGCAATGCATCGGCCTGGTCATGGAGGTTGCCCAGACCTCCATGTGCCATGCCGATGCCCCCCAGTTCTTGTGGCCTCAGGCAGCCCGCTACGCCGCGCACCAGCTGAACCTGTGGCCTGGTGACGCACGGCCACGGGTGACGCCGATCTTCCTTTGGACAGGTTTTCCGAGCGTAGCAGCTGACTACCGCGTCTGGGTTGTCTGGCTCACGTTCGCGCCCCTAGCATGAACAAGTTGTCTGCGCGCACCCATGTCTGCATCTTTCTTGGCTTCCCCGTCGATGCCTCAGGCTGGGTGTTCTACGACCCAGTCACCCAGCAGTTCTTTGCCTCTCACGACGTCACTTTCGACGAGTAGGTCAGTTACTATAGGAGTCGCCCCTACCAAGGTTCTGAGGCCTTTTCCCCCCCGCCGTTCCTCGCCCTTGAGCCCCCCCCTAGTCGCCCCGGTAGCCCCACCCCCTTTGCATCCTGCCCCGTCAGGTGTGTCGCACGTCACTCCGCAGTCTTCCCCCCCACAACGTCTAGTCCCTGTCGTGTGTGGGGGTGCTGGAGGTGCAGTTGCGGAGGGTGAGGGTACTGGGGCTGCTGGAGCCCGTTGTGCAAGCTCTGGGGGTGCAGGGGGTGTGAGAGCGGAGACCACTCCTGAGGAGGACACGGCTATCTCGACTCAGTGGCCTCGCCCCGCCTCACCCCCTGGCTTTCCGTTTGTTCCGCAATCCCCTCATCGTTTGCCTCCGCGGCCGGTCGCTGCAGAGCCTGGGGGTGTTCCTACTGGAGGCACTGGAGTCTCTGGGGGTGTTGTTGGTGGAGGTTCTGGTTCTGGGGGTGCTGGAGCCGGAGACACGAGCACTGCGACGCCTACGCCGCGCACTATACGTTTCCTGACCCGAGTGCAGTGTTTAGACAGGTTGGAGAGGGAGGAGCGGGAGCGGTTTGAGAGGGCACAGCAGCAGCACCAGCAACAGGCTCAATCGGAGCGTCAGGACGGAGTAGAGGAGGAGTCACGGCAGCAGCAGCAGCATTCTCAGTCGGAGCATCAGGAGAGAGTAGAGGAGGAGTCACGGCAGCAGCAGCAACAGTCTCAGTCGGAGCGTCAGGAGAGAGTAGAGGAGGATTCACGGCAGCAGCAGCAGCAGCACCAGTCTTAGTCGGAGCGTCAGGAGAAAGTAGAGGAGGTGTCACGCAAGCAACAGCAGCAGCAGCAACAACACCACCAGCAGCACCAATAGCAGCAGCAACAGTAGGAGCAGCAGCAGTCTTAGATGGAGCGTCAAGAGAGAGTAGAGGAGGAGTCACATCCACAGCAAGAGAGAGTAGAGGAGGAGTCACGACTGCCGCAACAGGTGCAGTTGCACCCACAGGAGGAGAGGGTAGAGCAGGATTCCCGGCCGCATCAGCAAGTGTTGTTGCAGCCACAGCAGGACATAGTAGAGGAGGAGCCACGGGAGCAGCAGGGAGGGCAGGTGCCGCAGCAGCAGTCGCCAGAGGAAGCGGAGCAGCAGCGACTTAGAGACCTGCTCGACTCAGCACCAACACGCTTTGTTTGTGGTCCCCTATCCTCCCCTCCTGTTCCCCCTGTCGAGTCCCTTTCCTCGTCCCAGTGGACTCGTCGTTCTCCCCTCAGTCGTGTTGTGTCCCCAGAGCCTCGCCGGTCCCGTTACCGTGCCGACGGCCCGTTTCACCTAGTTCTTCGCTCTCGTGTTCCACCTCCTCCTGTACTTCCACAGCCTCCTGAGTCATCCCTCACTGTGTTTCACGACTCGTTGTCCGACTACCTCCGTGCCTCCTGTCATGTTGTCTCCCGTGTATTGTCCGCGTTGGTCACGGACCCGATTGCACCTCTGTCGTCTGTCTCGGAACTTGTTACCACTGTCGTTGGCTTTGCCTCTTCCCACTGCCTTGACTACACCGCTCACTTGGTGAGTGGATCTGCTCGTTCTCCGTTCTCTGGGGGTGCTCACGCGGTTTTGCTTCTCGTTCTCCAAGTTACAGCCCACCTCTCTTGCTGTGGATCATGGGCTCATGGCTCCACCTTCGGACGAGCCATTTTCGTCCAACGGTCCATATCTTGAGCTGGTGGGGTTGTCTCATGTACTTGATGACCTGTACTCGCCCAGACCTAGCTTACCCTCTTAGCGTCCTTGCGCGCTTTGTTGCGCCTGGGAGACACCGACCTTCCCACTAGTACGCTGCTAAGAGGGTGGCAAAGTATGTGGCAAGTACATCAGGCATGGGACTTGTCCTTGGAGGGAAGCAGCCAGTTACACTTACAGGTTACTCGGACTCGTCGTGGGCAGACGACGCAGAGTCGCTGCAGTCTACACAGGGTTACTGCTTCAGTCTTGGGACCGGAGCTGTTTCGTGGAGCTCAACTTGGGCGTCGCCCGTCTCTAGTTCTAGTTGTGAGGCAGAGGTGTACGCTATAGCCATGGCCGCCCAGGAGCTTCGCTGGGTGTCTTTCCTCCTCACCGACCTTGGCGAGCGGCCTCGCTCTCCCCCAGTCTTGTTCACCGACAACAGGTCTGCTGTCCTGTTGTGCAAGGAGCCCCGACTGGTTGGGAAGGCGAAGCACATCCAGCTTTGTTACTTCCTTCTCCGCGAGTTTCAGCAGCGTGGCCAGGCCCGCGTGGTACGTGTGGTTTTTGAGGCCAACACTACATATATCTTCACCAAGGCATTGCCGCCTTGTGCTCACCAGCGCTTCTGCACCCAGCTAGGCCTTGTGTCTACAGGCCCTCACTTGCTTGCGCAGAGATGCTTTGTCTTGTACCCTTGTATCTCTTCCTATATATACATCTATATTGATGCATATGGATTGGCCTTATGGCCCCTTGTTTGCCCTCAGACTGTATGGTGACGTTGTGATCCACCCTGAGTTGCATCCCTTGCTTGATTCTTGTTGTTGCAGACCAGTCTTGTGACCTTTCCTTGCTCTTGCTGACTAGTCCTATGACCCTTGCTCTCAGATTGTATGGTGACTTCGTGATCCACCCTGAGATATGTGTTGCTTTCCGCAGGACTACCATCACCTAGACTATGGGGGTGTGTCAAACTATAATGATATAGTTTGTATTGTTCTAGTCTAGGTGCATTTACTTTGTCCTAGGTTTAGGGTTGGGGCTGACTTATATCTTGCTTGTTCGTTCATTTGCTATTCATTCTCATATCTCAACACCCCACTCAATCGCAGTGAATGTGAGATCTGAGTGAGCTGGGACCGCCAAAACCCATGCACCAGCCCCTGGGCCCTGAAGGGATGTGAAACGGGCCAGGGTGGCATCGTCACGAGCCAAGCGGCGCAGTGCATGGAGCTCCTCAACAGCCAACTGCCGCTGCCGTGCCTGGAAAAGCCGAAGAGGAGGGGCCGCTACACACAAAGGTAAGCCCGGCATCTCCTAGCGTATAGTCGCAGGCAACTGCTCAATCGCCTTGGCAAACCACGGGTCAAGAAACTCCGCCCCTGCCTAAGTGGTGAGGTATTCTGCAAATATCGCCTCCTCGGCCGCCACCCCCAACTGTGCAATATCCCGCGCGGCCTGCGCCCACCCGCACACATTGGACAGCGGACTCAAAGAGGCCGTCGCCCGGATCCCAAACCCTCCGAGTCGCACAGGGAGATGCAGCTGCATGCGTGCGCGCCTAGAGCGGTCGGGGTCCTGCTCCCAAATGCTAGGTGGGAAAAGCTGCTCAAAGCAATCCTCCAAACAGCTATCCCAATTCCTAAAGGCCTCCACCACCTCCGGACGCGGCAGCATAGTCCGGGCCAGGTACATCGGCTGTGCTGAAACTGCAATGGCGAGGAGATGTGAAGCCATCTGGGGGTGGTCGAACAGGGGGAGCCATAGCAATGGTGCCTGCAACTGTCAAAGCTGCTCCCGTAACCGGGCCACCTCCCAATCCTCCTCCCCAATAGGCACGCCCACCACAGTGAGACCCTCCTCCACCTGCTGGATCCCCAATGGCACTGCCCGCACCACATCCCCACCTTCGCGCTCCCAAAACCGGCCCTTGTGCGCCTGCACCTCCAGCCCCACCCACTCCAACTGTTCCCGCAGTGCCCCAAAAGCCTTTAGAATTTCAGCCGCTGGTCCCAAGATATAGGTATCATCTGCATAACTCAGGAAAAGTAGGTCCCTTAGCTCTCTAGTCACCGACTCCATCACCTGCTGCTCCGTGAACGCGAAACGAAAAGGGTCGAGCGTGTCCCCCTTCCGCGATCCTCGTGCCGACTCAAGGCTCTGTATGAAAGGGCCCGCTCAGAGGTACAGGTCGCTAGGTGTCCCGTAGAAAACACGCAAGAATGGGATCAACCCTAAGAAAGGCGACTCCCGCAGCCCCTTAAACATCTCATGATGGTGAAACGAATTGAAGGCGTTCGCGATGTCTATCTGCAGTGCACACCAGCCGGGGTGAGTGGCCAGCGCTGACCGAAAAGAATGAGTAAGAATCTCCACCCTGGTCCTGGTGCCTGCTCCCAGATGGTTGCACGGCAGAAAGTAGGAAGCCATCGCAGGGCGGAGCGAGATGCAGAGAGCTCGAGCGAACCTCCCCAGTCGCCACCGGCCGGACGTCGCCGTTAGGCTTGGAAAGCCCAACTAGGTTGGATGCGGTGAGCCAGGGCCGAGCCCGCTCGGGGACCTGTCTCGCCACCCATTGGTTGAACACTTCCAATAAGTGGGAAAGGCAAAAAGGTTCAGTGAGAAAGGTGTCGCGCAGATGCTCTGTGACCCACCCCGATGGCCTTGCTGCTGAAGCGCGAGCATCAACATAGATAGCTTTGGCCAGGATGTCGATCGTGAGTGGAGGCTGCTGAGGAGCATCGACGGTGAAATCACGGACCCACTGTGGTACCTCGCCAGTGCTAGCAGGGTGCTTCTCTCGTAGCGATTGCACCAGGGGTCGAGCCAAGTGCCTGCGCGTGCCTCTCCACCTCAGACGCCCGGCATACCCTTATGTGGTTTGCAGCAGCCCCTCTCGCAGCGAACGTGTGAAAACACGTGTCACATGGAAAACAGGGGCATGGGGAAGGCGGCCTGGGAGGTTCTCCGTCCGCCTCTGACTCCTCCGTAGTCGCCATGGGGGTATCTAACTCCAAAAGTCGGCTCCACTCCTCCCACTGCTGCTCCTGGTTGTCCATCAACTGCCCCCCTGGCTGCTGCGCTCCCTGGGGTGTTCCGGTCACCCCCGGCTGCCCCTCTGCCTGCTACTCTCGCCGGGGTGCTCCGGGCACCCTCGGCTGCCCCCCTGGCTGGTGCGCTCCCTGGGGTGCTACGGTCACCCCCGGCTGCCCCCCTGGCTGGTGCGCTCCCTGGGGTGCTCCATTCGCCCCCGGCTGCCCCCCTGGCTGCTGCTCCCTCTGGAGTGCTCCGGTCGCCCCGGGCTGCCCCCCAAGCTGCTGCGCTCCCTGGGGTGCTCCGGTCACCCCCGGCTGCCCCCCTAGCTGCTGCTCTCTCTAAGCTGCTCCCTGCACCCTCGGCTGCCCCCCTACCTGCTGCTCTCCCCAGGGTGCTCCCAGCACCGTCGGCTGCCCTCCTACCTGCTGCTCTCCCCGGGGTGGTCCGGGCACCCTCGGCTGCCCCCCTGCCTGCTGCTCTCCCTCAGGTGCTCCGGGCACCCTCGACTACCCCCCTGCCTGCTGAGCTCCCAGGAGTGTCTCACTCGCCCTCGGCTGCCCCTCCGCCTGCTGTGCGGCATCCCCGCTTCCAGTCCGCCCTTGCGATTTATGGGAATGGCGCCTCCAGCCTCGGCCCCGTGCCCGGGTTCTCTTCACTTGGCTTGCAACATCCAGATTAGCGACCTTCTGCTGCCCCTGCGCTGGCAGCTCCCGCCGCTCCCCCCCCCCGGCAGCTCCTGCCGCTCTCTCACCGACAGCGCTTGCTGCCCTCCTGCCGGCAGCTCCAGCTGCCCTCCTGTTGGCTGCTCCAGCTGCCCTCCTGTTGGCAGCTCCTGCTACTCTTCTCGTGGCAGCTCCTGCTGCCCTCTTGCGTGAAGCCGCGCCTGGTACCCGGATCGGTCCCACCGCACCTCTGGCTATAGCTCGGCCATTTCCACGTCTACCGCTTGCCGCTCCCTCTCCGGCAGCTACCCTTCCCCCGGCAGCTCCGGCTGCCCCTCCCTTGGCAGCTCCTACTGCTCTCCCCCTGTTGGCTCCTACTGCCCTCCAGCCTGCAGCTGGGCCTGGTTCCCCGATTGGTCCCACTGCACCTCTGGCTGTAGCTCGGCCATTTCCACGTCTACTGCTTGCTAATCCCTCGCCGGCAGCTCTAGCTGCCCTCCTGCCGGCAACTCCTGCTGCCCTCCTGCCGGCACTTCTTGCTGCCCTCCTGCCGGCAACTCCTGCTGCCCCCCTGCCGGCAACTCCTGCTGCCCTCCTGCCGGCAACTCCTGCTGCCCTCCTGCCAGCAACTCCTGCTGCCCCCCTGCCGGCAGCTCCTGCTGCCCTCGTGCCTGCAGCTCCCGCTGCCCTCCCACCACCAGCTCTTGCCCCTCTCCCGCCGGCCGCTCCTGTTGCTCTCCTGCCGGCAGTACCTGCTGCTCTCCTGCCGGCAGTACCCGCTGCCCTCCTGCCTGCAGCCCTTGCTACCATTTCGCCGGCAGCTCCTGCTCCCCTCCCACCGGCAGCTCCTGCTGCCCTCCCGCTGACAGCACCTGCTGCCCCAATGCTTGTGACTTCCAGGCCTCCCCCGACGGCCGGTTCTGCTGCCCCCCCTCCCGCCACAAGGATTGGGTCCCCGATGGACTCCCCTGCTGCACGTCCGCCCGAGCTCTCCGCCTTCGTTCCTGCCTTTGGGCTAGGCAAGGCCTGCGCCGAGCTGTGAGGGCTGGGAGTGCCGAGGGATTTCCGAGGGCATGTCGCCGCCTATCGTGAGACTCTTGCAGTCGCCGGCGGTGTGCCTCCCATGCAGCCATCGCCGCATCATCACCGGTACCTTGCCTGTGCATCCCATGACCACACTCGCCTTCGTCTGTCGCGTCCAGGTCCCGGCTAGAGATGGTGTTGCTGCCGCCTACGAAGCTGCCGAGAGTGTCTTTGGGTGGTTCCTCCATTCCCCCCTCTGTCAAGAGGGGTCCATACCTTTGTCGCTTACTGGGCTTGCCAAAAAGGCAGAGTGCATCCTCATAGTGGAGGCGGCAGATTTGTGGGTATTGCACGCTCAGCGCTAACTCTTTGGGTCTCTTGTAGCCAAACGCACACCGGATCTTCCTCCCCTGGTCTGGGGGATCTGGGTCGTCGTTCATGGCATAAGCCGTTTGCGGGGAGCACTAGAGGAGCACCTCCCGCCTTCAAAACAAGGCCCGCAGTCCGGGTGAGCGTCGCCTCTACTGCTGCTGTCGACCTTCTTGGTACTGAGAAGGTCGGCGCTGCGTCTGCCTCGAGCGGACGCCGCAGCGGCAAGGGCAAAGGGGACAAGGGTGGTGGCGGTGACGGCGGGGGAGGCGGCGGTGGGGGCGGTGGAGGCAGTGGGGGTGGTGGCTCGGCTGGAGGGGCGAGTGGTAGCGGTGGGGGTGGTGGCGGCAGCGGCGGGGGAGGTGGCAGGAGTGGAGGCGGCGGTTGGGGTGGCGGTGGACGAGGCGGCGGCAGGGGTTGGGGTGGTCGAGGAGGTGGCAGCGGTGGTGGTGGCCGTGGAGGCACTGGCGGTGGCCAGGGCCAGCAGCACACTCCCTCGCCCCAGGAGGTCCGTGAGTGGTACTCTCAGCACGGGGGTGGGGGTGGTCTTAGCTGCACGTACGTCATTCGCACTGGTGACCGCACTGGTCAGCAGTGTGGACGACCGCACGCCACACAGCGCTGCTTCTCTCGTCTCGAAGACGCTTGGCGTGTTCAGTTCCCTCAGGCCACTGAGCTGCCCCGCTGGCTTGATCTCCTGAAGAAGGGGATCGATATCTATGCTCTAGACTTTGATGCTATTCTATCTTCCATGTATGTGATGTCTAGTAGTGGAGAGGGTGCTGAGTACTTGTGTGTGCCGCCGGACCCGGGCATTAGGGCCAGTGCGTCTGCCGCTCCAGGTACTCGCTTGTCGGCTACCCCAGGTGCTGGTGAGGCTACTGCTCTAGGTGCTCGTGTGTCTCCCCCCCTTGGTACTGCGTCGACTGCCGCACTGCACACCTTCACACTGGACTCAGGTGCTTCTCGCTGCTTCTTTCGTGGCCGCACTGCCCTTGAGCCGCTTGCTCGGCCAGTTGTTGTCTCCCTTGCTGACCCCTCTGGGGGTCCGGTCATTGCGACCTCTTCCACTGTCCTTCCCTATCCTGCGGTCCCGTCGGGCACACTGTCAGGTCTCCACCTCCCCTCGTTCTCAACGAACTTGGTGGCAGGATGTGCACTCCAGGACGGGTGTGTTCACCAGTTCACCCCTGCCTAGGAGCGCGTGACACACTGTACGTGTGCTCGTACGGGCCGTCACTTGGCTACCTTCACTCGGCAGCCGGGGTCGGACCTGTACACACTGACTACTGAGTCCCCTCAGGTTGCTGCGACTACGTCCGCGTCCGCGTCAGGTCAGCTGTCCGCCCCCTGCTCGTGTCGCTCTTTGGCACACGAGACTGTCCTCTGGCACCACCGCCTTGGCCACCCGTCTGTGCAGCGGCTTCGTGCCATGCACTCCCGGTACCTTGTCTCTGGCCTGCCCACGGTCCTTCCTGCCCTCCCACCCTCGCCTGCTCCTACCTGTCTCCCCTGTGTCGAGGGACGGCAGCGCGCCGCTCCTCACTCCTCCTCGTTCCCCCTGACGACTGCTCCCTTGCAGACGCTCCACATGGACGTGTGGGGCCCAGCCCGCGTCCGTGGTCAGGGTCAGGAGAGGTACTTCCTGATAGTTCATGACGACTACTCGCGCTACACCTCGGTCTTCCCCTTGCGCACCAAGGGTGAGGTCCCTGATGTCTTGATCCCTTGGATCCGCAGAGCCCGTCTCCAGCTCAGCGAGCGTTTTCACTCGGACTTTCCTGTCCTGCGCTTGCACTCTGACAGAGGTGGTGAGTTCTCCTCCGACCTCTTGGCAGCCTACTGTGCTGAGCACGGCATTGAGCAGTCGTTCACGCTTCCGGCTTCTCCACAGCAGAATGGGGTTGCGGAGCGGCGCATTGGCCTGGTCATGGAGGTCGCCCGTACCTCCTTGATCCATGCGGCTGCCCCCCACTTTCTGTGGCCGTTTGCGGTCCGGTACGCTGCGCATCAGCTCAACCTCTGGCCCCGTGTCTCCTTGCCGGAGACCTCGCCCACGCTGCTGTGGACGGGGGAGGTTGGCGATGCGTCGCGTTTCCGGGTCTGGGGGTCTCGAGCTTTTGTCCGCGATTCGTCTGCGGACAAGCTCTCCTCCCGTGCTGTTCCCTGCGTCTTCCTTGGCTTTGTCCCAGACGCGTCTGGTTGGCAGTTCTACCACGCCACCTCGTGCCGAGTCTTGCCCTCCCAGGACGTCACTTTTGACGAGTCCGTCCCCTACTACCGCCTCTTCCCCTACCGCACTGCCCCGCTCCCCCCCCCGCCTCTCTTCCTCGCGCCAGGTGCTGCTGTTGCAGACCCCATCCCCCCTCAGGGTGCCGCTCCCTCAGGTGTGTCTCAGGTAGACCCGGTTGAGCCTGTTGAGGTAGCTGTCGACTCTCGTCCTGCTTGGGGTGCTGAGCCTGGGGGTGCTGAGCCTGGGGGTGTGGAGCCTGGGGGTGTGGAGCCTGGGGGTGTGGAGCCTGGGGGTGTGGAGCCTGGGGGTGTGGAGCTTGAGGGTGCTGAGCTTGGGGGTTTGGTGCCTCGTGGTGCTGAGCTGCGGAGTCCGGAGTCTGGGGGTTCTGAGTCTGGAGGTACTAGGCCTGGGAGTCCTGCACCTGGAGGAGCCCTCTCCTCGGAGCAGCTGCGTGCGTGGTACTTAGAGTACTGCAGCCTCCGGAGAGGTACCGCTCGAGCCGGACGTACTACTGGGACTGGTGCTGGTGCTTCTTCTCCCGTTCGGGAGCTCCCCTCCCGCGAGCGGATCCGTGAGTGGTACGAGCGGCGCTGCACTCTTCGGAGTGGCGTGCCTCGTGTTACGGACCCCGCTGCTATTGGAGCTGCTGCTGGTGCTGAGGACCCGGGCGTTGGAGCTGCTGCTGGTGCTGAGGACCCGGGCGTTGGAGCTGCTGCTGGTGCTGAGGACCCGGGCGTTGGAGCCGCTGCTGGTGCTGAGGACCCGGGCGTTGGAGCTGCTGCTGGTGCTGAGGACCCGGGCATTGGAGCCGCTGCTGGTGCTGAGGACCCGGGCGTTGGAGCTGCTGCTGGTGCTGAGGACCCAGGCGTTGGAGCTGCCGCTGGTGCTGCGGACCCGGGCGTTGGAGCTGCCGCTGGTGCTGAGGACGTGGGCGCTGGAGCTGCTGCTGGTGCTGCGGACCCTGGTGCGGGTGTCCCTGCTGGCTCTGGTGTCGCTGCTCGGTCTCGGCCGTACTTTGTTCCGCTCCTTCAGCAGGTTCTTGGTCAGCTTCCTCCTCCTTTTCCTCCCCCCTCCTTAGCGTGTCCTCCGCCTGTCCAGCTGCAGTCGGCGTTACCGTCTGCCTCCTCTCTCCCTGGTCCTGCTCCTTACACTGGTCCGACTGGAGGTCTTACTGAGCGGCGTGAGCCTGCGTCTCGTCCTGCGTCGCCTGAGTCTCGTCCTGAGTCGCCTGTCCGCACTGCTCTCTCTAGTAGTCGAGTCCAGCGTCAGCGTCTTCCTGCTGTCCCCGGCACTCACCGGATGGCGCTTCGTCCGTCCACTGCTCCACAGCGTGTCCCACTGCCGTCTCCTCCTGCTTCCTCTCTTCCTGCTCTTGCTGACCCTGGGTCAGACTCTCTTCGTGCTGCTAGTCCTACTGTCACGCGTCTCCTGGCTACTGTTGTCAGTGACCCTTCCTTTGAGTCTACTGCTGCGTCTGCCTTAGTTGCTGAGCTTGTCGACTTCGCTGCCACCTGTCGTCTAGACTACGCTGCTAGCCTGGTTGCTGAGTCTGAGTCTGTCTGTCCTCCGTCCGTCGGGGGTGAGTGTGCTCTTGGCACTGACGTCCTTGAGGACAGGCAGGAGGAGTTTGAGTGCTTTGCTGCCGCTTTGCCTTGACTGGTCTTGTGACCCCTAGTTCTCCCCCACTTTGCCTATGGGGGTGTGTCAAACATTATATATGTTGTGTTAGTTTAGGCTACAGTGGGTTAGCCTATAGGGGGTACACAATTCTAGGGTTAGGTACTTGTACTCATTTCACTGCTAGTTCATTCATTCCTGTTCAGTGATTTCAACATTTGACACACCTTTATAGGCAAAGTGGGGGAGAACAAATGGTCACGAGACCAATCAAGAAAACCAAAGCAAGCTCAAGGTGGATCACAAAGTCACCAAACATTTTCAGTACAAGCAAATGGCCACAAGGCTAGTCCACAAGCGGAGTTATATAAACGAGAACAAACTATACAGTGATCATAACCTATCAAGTTTAAGCATGCAGGTATATATACATATATACATATATCACAGTACAAGCAAAGGAACGCAGTGAGCAAGTGAGACAAAGTAGGCACAAGGCCTAAAGCAGTACAGAACCGCTGATGATCACCAGGCGGAAGTGCCTTGGTGAATATATCAGCAGTGTTGGCCCGAGTGGCCACGTAAGCAAGACGAAGCTGACCACGTTGCTGCAACTCTCGAGCAAGGAAGTAACGCAGAGCGATGTGCTTCATTCTGTGCTCCAGTCTGTGCTCCTAACACAAGGCAATAATGGCCTTTGTTGTCTACGTACAGAAATGGAGGAGAACGAGGCCGCTCTCCCAGGTTGGTCAGCAGGTAGGTGAGCCAGTGTAACTCATGTGCAGCCATGGCCCCTACGC